AACATTCTGAATGCAGCTTTACCGGTTCATGGATGACCATTAATTATGCTGAAGATTCAAAAACTTTGAATAGAAAGACTACTTTTGTATAGGAAATAAGGGAGAACTCAAATTGCATTTCGGTTTAGTGTTAACTAATGTACGTGAACAACAAATGACTCATCTACAAAGACTATGCAAAATAAATCTAGACAAATAAAACAGTGCGTACATAGTAACAATTGAATAAATGGATAGATCACATTCACGTTTTGTTGAAACACATGTTTGAGAGGTGGTGGTAAAGTCTCACAATGGAGATTTGTTGTGAGTTAAAATAATTAATATATCCTAATTGACCCATACCTTATTTGTTTAAGTTCTAAATGAAGATAAGTCCAGTTAGATATACTGATCACAGACTTGAGTTTTATAATGGTAATCTCCTAAGATAAAGATGTCAACTTTTATTTGACAATAACAAATTGTCTCAGAGTCAATGGTTGATTGATGTCTCACTTTCAATGTGTATCGCTATTTGCAAGTATCTTAGGAAGGAATCTCATGATTGACGATCTCTAGGCAGCCTTCACGATTCGATGTGGCGGATGAAACCCGAGGTGAAACTGAGTATTGTGGTTGTTACAATGTTCCCGGGGGAAGAACAGCAGAAGTGCCAAAAGTTGTGTACGGAGCTCACTTTTGTGCCAAAAGTTCCATTTGGATCACTTAAGTGCCAAATCGGAGGAAAAATGATCACTTTGGTGCCAACGGTGAGAGATTCCGGCCAAATTAATACGTGGCATTTATAATTAAATTTTTAATCTTAGTTGGATTTTTTTTAAAAAAAATTAGTCTATGTGGTATTTCCACATATATATTTAGATTTTTTAAAAACTTTTCTGAATTTTTTTCTTTTTTTTCTTCTTTTCTTTTTTTCTTTTCTTTCTTCTCCCTTTGGTCACCGCCGGTGACCGGAGGCCGGCCACCGGCCGCCTGGCCTTGCCCGGACGAGGCCACCGCCGCCCGCCACAGGCTAGGCCCGGCCGATCCTCGCCTGGGCGACGGCGGGCAAGCCCCGGCGAGGTCGGCCTCGCCTCGCATGGGCGAGGGCGAGCCCGGCGAGGTCGGCCTCGCTCGCATGGGCGAGGGCGAGCCCGGCGAGGGCTCCTCGCCCAGATCCGGCAAGGCCGGCCGTCGCCAGCCACGGCGGCCCCGCCGGACGTCGCCCGTAGGAAAGGCGACACCCGGGGGGCCGCCGTGGCCCGGGCGACGGCCGGCCTCGCCGGATCTCGGCGAGGGAGCCTCGCCGGGCTCACCCTTGCCCCTCGCAAGGCGAGGCCGACCTCGCCCATGCGAGGCGAGGCCGACTCGCCGGGGCTTGCCCGTCGTCTCCTGTGCGAGGGTCGGCCGGGCCTCGCATGTGGCGGCGGCGGCGGGCTCGTCCGGGCGAGGCCCGCCGACCTCGCCCGTGACGGGCGGCGGCGGCCTCGTCCGGGCGAGGCCAGGCGGCCGGTGGCCGGCCTCCGGTCACCGGCGGTGACCAAAGGGAGAAGAAGGAAAAGAAAAAAAGAAAAGAAGGAAAAAAGAAAGAAAAGAAAAGAAAATTGTTTAAAATAAAAAATGCTGACTATACGTGCTGACTGTATCTCCGGCGAGCCACATCGGCTTCAGAAATTAATAAAAAAATGCCACGTCGGATTTCCGGCCAAACTGACCCGAGTTGGTACTTAAGTGATCGTTTTTCAAAAATTTTGGCACTTAAATGATCCAAATGAAACTTTTGGCATCAAAGTGAGCTCCGTACACAACTTTTGGCACTTATGCTGTTCTTCCCCCCAATGTTCCCTCACAACAAGATGGAGATCCAAGTTAATATTTATGTTGGTGCCGAAATAAATACCTAAACTAAGAGAAGCTAGGCTAAAATTGGAGGCTCAGGAATGTGGAGGCGACTATTGAGATACAAGTTTAAGGGGTATTAGTAAAATATAAAATTGGAGATTTTGGTGTGAGATGAGCCATAAACACATACTAGTTGCCCATAACGCATTGCTTTTAAGTGTTTGAAATTGGATGATGATGATTTTTCCAGGTGAAGGTGTTGATTGGGCTTCTACTAAGGTATACCTTTTCTCCTCCATCCTTTTTTTTGGTCGAAATTCAAAAAATCAGGGGCCGATAAAGTTTTAAATTTTAAAAGTTATATTTCCACAATTTTAATGGCATAACTCCTAAGTAGTCTACAGTGAACGAAATTGATCTCTCCTCCGCTAGAAGATCAGTAAAACAAATCAGTGGATGGTTAGGCGTATAGAAATATATAAAGGATTACGGCATATGACTTGTCATGCCATGCCACATGTGAATACTGTCATGAAATGTCATTTCTCATCACATCTGAATTTCGAATTTGCCTTCTCATTTCTCATGATTGATATTTGCATCCAAATTCACATTTGCGTGCACACTTTCATACACAAATGGAGTCACACCAATACACATGAGAAAACGGCCTCGTTAGAAAAGAGGACGTCAAATAAGTATTTGATGACATTCTAAGTTTTAAAATAAAACATCATGCGTGATTATGAAATTAATTGATGAATAATTTAGGACTTGGCGAAAAATGGGGTTACAGTACCCGGACAACGTGTGTCATGCTAATGCATCCCACGCATGACCAAACCCCCGTACTTAAAATCTTAAATTATCATTTTACCAGTTTCATTTACACATACACTTAGGTAGTTGACTTTCCCATCACTATCTAGACCCTTAGGTGTCCAATCGACCTAAGGATAGTGACTCAAATATGATTATTTATGTTTATGATCATATCTAGATTTCGTAGTTTACCGGAACCTAGGATTTGGCAAGATCCGAGGGATCGAGGTATTACTAGCAGGCGACCCCCTATCTATTTGAGGTGTTACAAATTCCTAAAAGTACGAGGATCAAGAGTGTAATTTTTTTAAAAGCTTGTATACGTGGGATCCATGAGTCGATTTGTCGGTGCTGACTCAACACATGCTGTCCACATTTGGACGGAATATAACACATGAACCAAAACTGAATTCGGGTAATAGTGTGAGGATGATTTTGTAGTTTCCCCTGAATGTTAGTAAACTCATTAACAAAAAACGATTATTTCATCATTTAGTTGAATGAATGGATGGACATCTGTCAAAATGGGTCATAGATCCATTTCTTAACTTATATTTGAGGGGCTGAGTTGTTAGTGAGTTAGTTATGTTTAGTAAATGAGTCATGAATAGGTTTAGAATGGTAAAACCCAAAATAATATGGGTGTTAAATGGGTTCATAACTTACTTAGATCCAACCCAACACTATGATTCTCTCGCTCGCTCCATGCTCTCACCTCATTTTGGGAATGAGTTTTTCTAAATTTGGTTAAATATGAAAATACTCTAGCAATATGGATCAAGCCGGGTATAGGTTGGATCAAGCATGAATCACTAAATTTGTACATGGACATGGGTCAAAACTAATTAAATTGATTAATTTAGGTCAGACCATTTTTCGACTTGACTCGACCCACCTGTTTGGCGGTTGTCAGTCGGATCATAAATTGCTTACTCTAGTAGTAACTTCTTAGTATTACCCTAGGCAGGTCTATATTGGTAAACCATTAATCTAAGTGGTAGCTTACATTTGAAGCCACTAACATTCATTTTGAGTGGTGTATGAAATGAAAAAAAAACACTTAACAGTTGCTATTACATCAATCATAAGTCGGATAGTAAATTACTTACTGTAGCGATAAGGTATTATTAGTACTTTAAAAGCGGAGCTATGTTCCTAAGCCATTAATTTTAGTAGAAACCTACTATTTAAGACATTAAGATTTAGCTTCGAGTGGTAGATCTATTAGTAAAAAACATAATGACTAATAAGTTACTATTACATAGATGATCGTAAGTTGGATTGATCACTTACATTGTTGATAAGTTACTATTACTACCTCAAAAGAGGAGCTACGTTCGTAAGCCATTAATTGCAGTGGTAACTTGCTATTTAAGAAATTAAAATTTAGTATCGAACGGTAAATTATAAAAAAGAAGAAGAAAAAGTTAATGAGTTACTATTACATGAAGGTCGCTAGATGGACTACTCCTTCCCCTTCCTCCCTAAGGATCCACCAAACCTTGCCTGAGTCGCTAGATGCAGGGTGCAAGGCTTGACATGTTCTCGGTGAAAACAGAGGAAACGTGAGGGAGGGGAGAAGAAAGAGCTCTCGAAAAAGCTCGGCATCGCGGCAAAGATACGACAGTGCTAGTGAGATAGCATGCTCGGGTGGAGTTCCAAGATTGAGAGAAGAAAGAAGAGGAGTTCCTTCCGGATCAATGCACAGACGGGTCAAAGATCAGATCAGATTAAGTGAAGGGTGCAAAGGTGATTGACGGTCTCTCTAAGCACCTCAATCGTTCAGATGATCTGGACATTGATCATTCAAATGAGACCTGCATGGTCTTCAAGGGCTCAAGATCGAACCGAAGAGCTTCGCAGCAACATGGCAGTGAATCTCCATTTGGTCACCGAGACACCAGACAGTGCACGTGTCAAGCTGTGGAAGGCACTTCTCAAGGTTTGTGATCAGGACCGGAGCCAGCGGTAGCTTGAAAGGACGCACTGAACTTTCCTAACCGCCAAACAACCCTCCATACTTGCAACTATTAAAAGTCTTGACAATGCTTGTGAACATTCATTTACCAACTCAACCACGAAGTATGATCAACAGTAAGCTAATTGGAAAACCTTGGAACTATATCTTTCTCCCTAACCATTGTTCTAAATTGCAGTTCAGTCTCCCAAATTCAAACCTACTTTGAACTATTATTCAACGCGACAATTAAAGGACAAACATTTATATCGAAAGAACAATTGAAACACATGAAGTGATTTTCCCTTGAATCATTGCAAGCGTGACATCATTGATATCCACACCGTATCAAGCCTATTGAAATAATTTGTGGTTCCAACCACAATAACATGGGTAATTAGCATTAAAAGGTTGCATCTTGCCCAGAATTGTGTAGAGCAATTTGTAACAAACTAGACAGTTGATGGTCAGAATACTCCACATGCACTAAATTGCCATAAAACTCTGACACAGTAACCATATCTCCGGATTCGCCTAGCCATAACAGAATCCACCAGGAGAACATAATTAGTCGTCTTTTGGCCCTGGTCAGTTTTAAGCAGTTATTTTAGAACATAGACGCAAATATTCCATTAAAATAAACAAATGATGAGACATGGACATTCTCTTGTGCGGAAGGATGTTGAATTTTGGTTTTCATTCAGGTGACCTCCCTTAAGCATTCAGAATATTCACCAGGATGCTAAAGGAGAAACCTGAGTAATATTTCAATCTTCTCAAGTCAGCCAACTATCTTGCACTGAAAACAGGTTCCGCTTCCGGGCTAGATTGCACTCTCCTGGTGAATTTCAGGAGTAGACCTTCCAAAGAAAGACCAGGAACACTTAGATCCCTGTAAAAGACATTGAAAAATGGATTTCATTTAAGAACTTTTGCAATGAACACTGGTACATAAACGTATCAATTAACGCATAAGCAATTCCACCAAACCTGACGTAGGGTTCTAGGTCCCTCCAATCCCATTTTGGACGTTCTTTGAAAAGAATGGAGAACCGCTCAGATGGATCAGATGGCAACGAAGAAACCCTAAATGGTCGTACCCATGTTTCAACCCCAAGCTTTTCCTTCAAAACTTCGCCATCTAACATCTCAAAATTGGCAACCATCTCCTCAGGCACCCTCTTCTTCCACTCGTCAGTAAAATTATCGATCCTCATTTTCCCTTCTCTGAGGACATCTCTAGCATAATGCACACAAACCCGTCTCTCATTTAGTCTCCAGACACATCTACCTTCACCCTCATCGACCATATCACCAAACACTGATAAACAATGATGTGCTATCTTGCGAGGGAAACCATCTGCTTCCAGAACATGGAGAACTTCATCTTCATCGAGTGCACTCAGCATCCAGTCATTTAAGACTGAGTTGTGCAAAAGCATTTTAAGGATCATGCCAATGCAAGATTCATCAACTAATCTCCAATATCCACTAATCTCTACCGCTGAAAGAGCCTTCAATCCAGATTTCAGCTCCTCTTCACTTGCCTGAACTTCATTTACAAGATCATGCCATCTATACAATCCAATTTTCTTTGTTTCTATCTCTTCCAGCTCCATTGCTGAAACATCCTCAAGCTTATAAGGATTCTCTGAGAGAAGCAGCTTAAGCTTATCCAGTTTAGGAGCAATCTCAACAAGCTCCAAATGACCCGGTGCCAATTTGATAACAGATGCAACATCATGATCGCACCTCTTCTGGTTACCATCCTGTGAAGCTTCATCCTCTGGCACTTGGATTGAAGAGGGTATGAGGAGTACAGAGTTAGAAGTACCGACAAACTTCACAGCATATGTCTTAGACTGAGTACAGAAAACTGCATTTTCATCAGGATGTCCCCTTAAGAATGCCCTGGAAAGGAAACCCGATAAATTAGCAAGGGAACGCATATGTAATAATTGTTTGATGCAGGCAAAAACTACTGCTTACCTCTGGTGAATGACATCATCAAGAAGCTTCCCATCGAGCTCGAGAAGGATTAGGTCATCATGTGGGCCGTAAAGAGGGTGATAAGCAACAGAGATTGGAGAATTTTCCAGAAGAGCTAAAACTGCTTCTGCTCCTCCCGAAAAACTGAGCATACATGGTTCCATCCGCCCCCTTTCTCTCTCTTTCTCTCTCGCCAACTCTTGTCAGAACCTATTACCATGTCAAGAGAACAACGCAAACCAAAATGGCCATAAGAAATCCTTCCAAAATATTGTTGAATTGCATCTTATTCTCGATATCCAGAGAACCCATTTCAGACACATTCTTTTTCTAAAGTGAGCCAAAGGACCATCTTCCTTCCCCTGACATGCATACCACTGTACTTTTCACTAAACTAAGTCAAACTAGATCTAACGCAATTACATGCCCTCATTCCAGGGTATCCAATCACTTAATCCCAGAATTCGGGAAGCTCAATGGGAAGCGACTTACTTAAGATGTTGTCAACAGTCTAGTCCTCATTTAGCAAATCATAGACAGTGACCGCGGTGCATATACAGCACTAGAAACAGGGAACGTGTATTACAACAAGCTTGCGAGTCGCTGTTCAGTACAAGAAACAGACAGCGACTGCAGCGCATACAAAGCACTAGAACAGGGGACGTGTATCACAACAAGCTCACGAGACACTCTCCAGTACTCACCAACTGTTACATCTAGCGGCACCGTTCAATCTTCCTTCTTTGATCAAAAGAAGCAAGGGAACAAAAGCAGAAGCCTAAGGGAGCACAAAAAAGCAATTAACCAGGTACAAGCAAGGAGTAGTATGGGACACGCACGTTTCCTTCACAAAATCAGCAAATAGATGCATCTTAAATGCAATGAAAGACGCCACGGCCAGGGTCATCAAATCGCTCGTTACCCGGCGATTTCCGATCTATCGATCGTGCCGGACGCTGCAATCTCCGGCGAGCCGGGCGTTCCAAAGCTCGAGATTCACCTAACTGTCCAAAGCGTCAGGTGCGCCCAACCCAAGTTTCTCCCAACATTCTGCAGTAGCCCTATCAACTCAACAAGAACAAATTTGACATGGAGGAGGAGATCTTGCGTCCTAGGGTTTGAATTGAAACAGCTCGACAATCTCGCTCGGCTGAATTTTGGGCGGGGGAAACCCTAGATCACGAGAGGCAGAGCCAATAACGACAGAAAAGATCGGAGCTTACCTTTGCCCGCGCGACTGGTGTGCGGCGGCGGCGGCGGCGGCGCCGAGAGACAGAGACGGCGATAGCGAGGACGGTAGAGAGAGAGAGAGAGAGAGAGAGAGAGAGAGAGAGAGAGTGTGTGTTCGGCTAATATCCCGCGCGTTGCCTTTTGGCGCCAAAGTTTTGGCCGTCGCGAAAATTGCAGTTCGCTCCCTGAAGTTTAGCATTTCTTTCAATCAGCACCCTCAATAGTAAATTCCTTTCAATCAGCACCCTCCGCGGCCTCCGTTGGGTTACAGGAAGATATGCTCGACGATGGACCGATTGAAGAGGTCTAGAGGAGAGACCTGCATTGCAACACGATAGGCTCGGCGAGGGTGCTGATAGTAGCAGTCCCTAGAACAGCTTCGCCAACTAGCTCAGCGTCGATTTCAAGAACAAAACTGCGCGTGTTCGAGAGTGGAAGTTGAAGAGAGGCCTTCCCTTAATGGCCCGAAGTTCTGCAGATAAGCTGTTGTGTAAATCCCGTATTCTCGGCAGAACTTTGAATCCGATTCCCAAATTTGTCTTGAAGCATTCCTCTGGCACCCGCCCGTTCTCGGGTTGCCTCGACATGGAGCCATCAGTGTTAAGCTTGTGCCTCCACTTGACTTGGATTAGGGAGCAAGTGGTGCTTTGTTTTCCAATACTAGCCGAGGCGACAAGCTCAGCAGCTTGGCCCCAAAGGTCTACAGATGTTAATTCCTTTGGGAAAGGTCATCATGGAAGACAGAGCTTTGTCGCGATTGTTTAGAGAATGAATTTTGTAAGAAGGGCAAAATAGGTGAGAACTACTCACTATTTAAAACCTTGGATCCTGATAATGAACTTAATGGAATTCGTCCAAATGGGAGTAATGTGAGAAGTGAGGAATTAAATCCGACTCAATCTCAATTACAATCACCTGATGAGATAATACTGTCATTATCTAATCCAAATGGGAGCGTAATGGAGAATAATGTATAAAGTGTACAATCTCCTGTACAGCAAACAAGTCGCAAAAGTATTCCCCAACGACGTTTTGACATAGAAGGTGAAACTTTCATGGTCGCTCCACAAGATGAAGATGAGCCAAGGAATGTAATGTGGCTCTAAATTGTCCTGACAAGAAAAAATGGATGCTTGCAATGGAAGAATAAATGGAGTCAAAGAAGTCAAACTATGTTTGGGAATTGGTTGATCTTCCAAAAGGACGCAAAGCTATTGGGAACAAATGGGTTCTCAAAATAAGCATAGTGCTGATGGCTCAATAGAAAGATATAAGGCTCGCATCATGCCAAAAGGGTATAATCATCAGGAAGGAATTGATTATGAAGAAACTTTTTCTCATGTAGTAAGATTTACTTCAATTCACCTTATTCTGACAATAGTGGCAAGTATGGATCTTGAATTACATCAAATGGATGTAAAAACTGCTTTTTTAAATGGAGAATTAGAAGAAGAAATTTATATGGAGCAACCGTTGGCTTCATTGTGAAAGGCCAATAACAAAAAGTATGTTGACTTTTAAGATCGATATATGGCCTTAAGTAGTTTTTGAGACAATGGCATATACGTTTTCATAATGTCATAGTGGCATATGATTTTACAATGATTGATGAAAATCATTGCGTATATATCAAAAGATCCAAAGATCAATTTGTGATCTTATCATTATATGTTGATGATATACTAATTGCCGGAAGCAATATGGAGTTGGTTAATACTGTTAAGAGTTAGTTATCGTCTAACTTTGAGATGAGAGATATGGGTGAGGCTGCATATATTCTTGGAGTTAAGATTTCAAGAGATCGTTCCAAGATATTATTGTCTCTTTCGCAAGATACTTATATAAACAAGGTTCTTGAACGATTTTGTATACAAGACTATAAACCCATGGATACTCCTATTGCAAAAGGTGAAGGATTGAACCGTAGATTGTGTCCTAAGACTCCATAAGAGAAGGAACAAATGAAACGTATTCCTTATGCCAGTGCTGTTGGAAGCTTAATGTACATTATGATGTGTACAAGAGTCAACATATGTTTTTCAGTTAAAATGGTAAATATGTACCAATTCAATCCAGGTCAAGCACATTGAAAAGCCGTCAAAAGAATCATAAGGTATCTAAAGAGCACTGCTGATTATTCTCTAAGTTATCAAGGAAAGGATCTGCGACTTAAAGGCTACTCAGATGCTGACTTGGGAGGAGATTTGGATGAAAGGAAATCTACCTCTTGATTTGTTTACTTACTGAATAATTGCGCCATATCTTGGAGCAGTAAGAAACAAACATATATAGCCTTATCCACCATGGAAGCCGAGTTCGTGGCATTGTCAATTGCAGTACAAGAGGGAGTTTGGCTTAAGAGATTTTTGGATCATTTAAGTGTTGCTGAGAATGCTGCAAGCTCATTATTGGTTAATTGTGATAGCCAAGCAACGATAGCTTATACCAAGGATCCAAAATATCATTGCAAGACCAAACATATAGATACCAAGTACAACTTTGTTAAAGATATGGTAGAACGAAATGATGTGAACCTGCAGTACATATCTACGCATATAATGATAGCAAATCCTATGACGAAGTCAATTCCTAGAGATGTTTTCTATGGTCATGTAAAATCTCTGGGACTGCGTAGAGAGTGATGTACTGAATATTGTATTTTCTCTGAATGTTCACATTTAATGAAGTTGTTCTATCATTATTAATGCCTATGAGTTTATTTGATATTTATGCATCTTAATGCTTGGTGCATTATGTTGAGAAAGTATGTCGGACAGATGATATTAACTCACATATACGGGTAATCGCCTCTATTCACTGTGTGATAAATAAAGATTAAATAATTTTAAGCTTATGATCTAGGAGATAATTGAGAGCTCAAGCTTAAAATATAAATGTTGCCTTAACTGAGTGTTAAGATGAGAACATAATATTTACTATGTCCGAAAGTAAAATAACCCACATATTTTACTTTATCTGTCTTTGATGCCAGATATGAGTTCTGATGGATTCTTTGGAAGAGTAGATACGTAAACTCAAGTTTAGACAATGAGTTTGTCTGAACTATTGTATGCACAATATTGAATGTGAAAACATACGCTCCATGAGAAAGGAGTTAATACCGTAATACATATTTCATACTACATATGCATGAGACGACCAATAAGAGTGGCAAAAGTTTTGATTTCAACTTTATGCCGTGTGAGACTCTTGAGGATAAGAGTTCCTCATTTAGTGCCCTCACGACTCTGATTTATTTTCAAAGTTTCTATTCAGTGTTCGCTATTTTAGGGTGTTGCCAATGGTCATGAATGATTCGATCTAATAGGACATTTTCTAGAAAATCGAGTTGGACTGAAATGGAGAGGTTTAAGAAAAGAGGAAGATCAATTTGTTTATGATGTCACATTCTATTTTTGTATTCACAGGTTGATCGATTATGATTTTTTGAGTAAATCATAGTTGTGAATATAATATACGAGATACTAAAAGAGATCAAGAGAGATATAAATGTGACTGATTGATCTAGGGTATTGCATACTATATCTACTTGAAAACGTTATGCCCAATTTGAATTGTTATGTATTTCTAGCAGATGCATGGCAACGAGCTCTTGAAATATGCTGGTCGCACGGATTATTTGCTAGTATGAATATTGCAGAGAAGAGAGAATTATGTTTAGCCCATCATGTGCGAGTGGGAGATGATGGGTTTTATAAACATTGAGCCGCCCATGTTGGGCTAACCCAGCTCATTAATCATGAAAGGGCCCATGAGAGAGAAGGCAGTTATTTGTGGGAAAATGAAAAAGGGAGAAACGTTTTGTGTGAATGTGTGTGCTAAGGATTCTCTCGCTCACAAAAAGAAAAACGAAAAAAATTTCTCTCATTCAAAAGAAAAGAGGTTCTCACTCCACGATCGAAAAATCGCACTCTCTCGACATTGCAATTGGAGCATTTAATCCGTGGAAAATAAGGTACGCCATTCTTGGTTATGTACTTTAGATGATCGGTGATTCAAGTTTTCTTGGGCACGTTTCAGCAAATGTTTTTGGTGTTACTCGATAGTTCGAGTTTTCGTTTTTTAGGAATTTATTTCCGTCTTTCCGCAATTCTAGTAATCCGTTTCCGACAATGTACGTAATGAAATTAAGTTTCTGACCTTTTCATTGGTACAATCAACTCTTTTCGGCTATTTCAAACATGCTTAACCATGTAAGGACGGAGATTTCCGTCTCCCGGTAGACCATCGAAAGGGATCGGCACTTCAAATCACGGAAACAAAAACAGAAAAAAAAGAAAAGAAAAGGCATTCGTCACGTTTAACTTACGCCCGAAATTGCTACAAAACTCATTAATGGAAGACGGGTAAGCAGATCCAGCCACAAATGAGAGGAGTAAATTTCCTATCTACCAAGTCCTTGAGGGGAGGCCCAACTAACCATGTGAACAGATGTTGGCTATTTACTGAAAATCTTTGAAATGTTTGCGAGGTACGATATTTCTGGTTGAAGGTTGGACAAAGTGTATTAATGCACGACTCATTTCGAAAATGGATTGGTCTCTCGAGATATATCATCAACACCTCCGGCAAGCGCTAAGCTTGCAATTTTTCTCAAGTGCCAAAGATGAAATTCCATATACTATCACAGTTGTGAACACCCTTTTGAGCATGGCTGGAACATCCGACCTTGCACCTTTTTTTGCTATCGCATTCAAGAGCACAAACTCGTGTATTTCGAAAGCTACTCGTTACACTTGAGATGTGACAATAATTCGATTCCTAACCTGGGTTTTAGCGTGCAAATAAGAGAGCTTGAGTCCTATGTATCATAACGAATAAAAAAAATTTCAAAAAGTTGAAAGTCCAATTTATCAATATTACTTGCGTATCGGATATCATATATTTCTTTGTCTATGAATTGTTGAATAGCATCAATTTT